ACATTGCTTAAATATTTCAGTCTAATAATATTATGGTGTGAAACTGATTATGACTTAATTTACACAAGTGAATATGACTAAAGAAGTTATTCATTTGAAATATATGGAATTATGATTGTATTTCTAATTGCAATTGAGTCTTAACTTTGTAGAACTCTGATCATTATATTTTCACTCTTTTATTCTCTATTTAGGTATAATTTATACAATTATACTCTAGATTTCCAGCTTTTACTAATAATATAGAAATTTTAGGATCTACTAGAATAATCTTTGGACATTTAGTGATCTAATCTTTATTGCTTTATCATTTATATTAAACTCAAAATACAAATGATGTTTTTATAACTAGAAATTTAAGTCCTTTACTTACATAAAGAGCTGCTCATACAAATACTTAAAGAGAAATGACAGAACCATAAAATAAAAAAAATAATATTCCTGATATGGTAAATGATGAATTTGAAAATCTAAATAATTTAAAACAATTAGAAGAACAATATGAATTATTATTGATAAATTTCTAATGTGGAATCTATATATTTGAAAATGCTTAGCAACCAATAAGAATAATAAATTCATTTATGTCCCATATTGTTTTAATCAATGATTAATTAAATCCAGAGTTAACTTAGTTAGAATTGTATGATTTTGGTTTACTCTCAGAAGAATCATGTACCATATTGCCAAGTTTTCATCGAAGCAAAGACATCAGTAATTTCATCAAATTTACTTAAACTCTTGAGTACTAATATATTAATGTATTTGAACATAGAATATTTAATTTGATAATGTTTAACCAGAAGAAAAGAAAGAGATACAATTTTTTTGTAGGAAAATGTAAATGTAAACTTTGATAGAACATCTGCTTGCTTTTTCACATATAAAATATAATTTAACTAATTTTGCATTAGATTTTTCATTAAAAATTTATATTAAAAAAGGTAATTTTCCATTAAAATATAATAGATAAACTTTACACTTAGGTTATTTTGAATCCTGTTATCATATCAAATAAACCTTAAATTATATTATACATTAATGATTTAACTGAAGAACCATTCATAATATAATTATAATAATATCTAAAAAATAGTGATGATGTTATTTAAACTATTTCACAAAAAATGAAAGAACCTTTAAATTGTACATTATCAATGTTAGAATTAGTATAAGTAATATATTAATATTAATCTAAAATAGAAAGAAGTTAGTTAAGATTTATAAACTAAATATATTGATCCAGCATTAGCAGGATGTAAACTTTTAATTAGTACAGCAAATGATTTTTAAGATTATGTCACTATGCATAAAAAAACTAAATTAGATAGAAATTTAATGGATATTCATACTAGAGAATTTATTTCAGATTGTTTAAATATTATTAAAGCATAAGCTTTATTTAGAGGATTAAATATTTAAGTACATATTAAATAAAATGTTCCTATGTTTTTAAGAACTGATCCTAATAGAGTTAGATAAATTGTATTAAATTTATTAAGTATTAATATATGTTATTTTAATAGTCAAATCTATTTAGGTTACTATCAATGGTAGTATAGAGATTTCTTGTTAAAAATCACCTTTATTAACTGATCATATTGAAATTATAATAAAAGTTATGGCTCAAAATGTAAATGAAGGCATTTTAGATAGTATTGAATAAACTCTTAAGCATTTGAAATAATAGACTTTAGTTAGTAAATAAGTTATAGATATTGTTGCAACTTCAAAATAATATTCTTTTTCTATAATTACAGCATTTTACATATCAATGGCTGTAGCTATTATGCCTTTTGAATTTAATTCAATAAAAACTGAAGAAGGTACTTAGTTTTATTTTATTTTATTAATTAAAAATGAAAATCCTAATTTTAATAAATAACTAACACAAAAAAGATAATCTGCATTGGTTGCTAATAAGTCTTAATTTCATTAAGTTTTTGGTTAGAGTAGTCAATTTAAAAGACATTAATCATAAAGATTAACAGAAATAAGTAGAATTTAAGTATAAGAGAAACTCAAAAAAATGAAAAGAGAATCTTAAGAAGAAACTGTATCTGGTAAAATTGATCCTTAATTACCTTAATTTGGTTAATCTGAATTATCTGATAATCAATAACCTTGTAAATCTTACTCTGTTTCTTAAATCTCTGAATAAGATGATTCATAATAAAGTTCATCATCAGCAGATTCAAAAGATGAAATGAATAAAATTGAATTTGATGGTGATATATAATCTAGTAAATCAAGTCTTTAAATAAACGATAAAATAGAGAAAATAGAAAAACAATAAAAACCTTCTTAATTTCTTGAAACTATCATTCGTGTTAAAGAACCAAAAGCAAGAAAGATTTCAGTTAGTATTATCTAATCAAGATTAAGTCCTTAAGTCTCATAATAACTTTCATCAAAATAAAGAGATTCATTATTAACTTTCGGAGGACGTTCATCTGTATATTCTTCAATGAGAGTATCATCAGTAAATCTAGGACCAAATGAATTATTAGATTGTTTTGAAAAGATGGAAAGAATAAAATAATAGTAATTTGTTTACAAATGTTAAGTAAATTATATTAATTAAAATTTTAGTGTCCAAAGATATTAATTTGTGAATAGAATGATTTTGATTTATATGCAATATCCCATTAACTAAGTAATCTAAAGATTCCATATATTTATACAATGTAGAGAATGCATATTGTAGATTAATTAAGAAAGTAATTTTCACAATTTAAAACTTGTTGTAAAGGATATCATATAATATTTGTTGGTGTTGAATTTGTGAATGAATAATTTAGTACAGATTGTGCTAAAATAAAGGCAGTATTATCAGAATATTAAAAAGATACAAGACTAATTGGATTAATTGGATTTTAAGATGAAGATAGCAAACTTGCAATAAAAAAATTACCTTTTCATGATTGTTTGTAAAAACCTATAATGATTGATGCTTTGCTATTCATTTTAGCTAAATGGGTCAAATTGTGATATCTTAATCTTTTTTTGATTCTTAATCATTATTGTATATTTATTTGTTATAAAGACTAAATATCAAATACTTATCTATATTTTATATATATATAATGGAATGTACAGAGGATATATACATTAATCAATTTAATCTATTATATATTTTTAATGAAAACTGTAATTGAAAAAGTTAGAGGGAATCTATCTGGACATAGAATGACTATCAAAGATGTTGTATCAGAAGTTCTTAAAAAATCTGATCCTGAATTCGGTGATGATGAAGAATTGAATGTAAATATATACATATCTAATATATTTTAAAGATTATAGTTTCATTACTAAAAAAGTAATCATCACAAAGAACATAATTGGATATTGATAAAATTAGATTATCATTCTTTAGATTTAAGTTTTTCTAAGAATTAGAATAATAAATGGGAGCTGAAATGGTTTCAGGATTATACAAATAATTGAGTTATGAAATATAACATAAGAGATAAACCGTTTTCAATATAGGGGATTTAGGAAAAAAGTTTTACATTATTTTGAAAGGCAGTGTATGGGTATTGGTTTAGAAGAAAGGTTTGTAAGATGGATAAGGTCCTACTGAAGAAGATTAAAAATAAGAATAAGATTTAAAGGATGAAAAAAATAAAGAAATGATGGAAAATGCAAAAAAGAACAATAAAAAGAATAAAAATAAAAAAAATAAGGCATAAGCATTCATAACTTAAGTAACTTTAGATGATATCTTTGCTACAATGACTGATAAAGAATTTTTAGAAACTTAGTTTCCTACTTTATAAAAGGTAGGTGAGATAAATTCAGGTGAAAGTTTTGGAGAAATAGCTTTAACAAAATAAGTACCTAGAACAGCTACAATTGTAGCAGCTGAAGATACTCATTTTGCAACAGTGACAAGAGATTAATTTAATAAATTATTGTCTGCATATTATGAAGCTTAATAAAAAATGAATATTGGATTTCTTAGTAAAGTTGCCATATTTTCAGATTGGAATGATTAAATGTTAAATTAACTTTATTATCATTTTAAATAAGAAGAAAAAAAACTATTTTAAATAATTTATAAAGAAAATGAAAATGCTAAGTATTTATATAATAATATTATAACTATAGTCATATATATTTATTGAAATCTGGAGAAGTGGAATTATCAAAATTTATAGATTTAAATTAATCATCATCTAATAATTCCATTATGAAGAAATTCTTTACTAGAAATGAATAAAAATTGGAAAAGGTAAGAACATCTATAATTACAGCTGGACAAATCTTTGGACATGAAGAAGTCTTAGCTGGAATCAAACGTGAATATAGAGCTATTTGTGTTAGTCAAAATGTATCATACTTTGTATTAGATAAATAAAGATTCTTATAATATTTTTAAAAAGGAGCTGCAATCTAAAAATTACAAAGTTTTGATCAAAATAAAATTAATCAAAGAACATAATCTTTAGATATAATTAAATAAATAAAAAAAATACCTCAACCTATTGAATATAGAGAAGTTCCATTTATTAATTAGTAAACATAAGATTAATCAATTCTCAAGAATTCACTTGAGAGAATTGGAAATCCTGTTGAACCTACAGGTTATGAAATGTTGTAAGGTCATGGTCATATCAATAAAGCACATTATAATTTTAGAAGGAATATTAACGTGATTTACTCCAATTTAAAAGATACAGAACCATTATCTTTAGAGAAAGCATTCTTTTAAATGGAAGCTAGTAAAGGTTCTTCAATTAGTATTATTAATAGGGTAATGTATTATAATATTATTTAAGATATTTCCAGCTGCAGCAAGACCAAAATATATTATTCCAGATAGTTCAATTTCATCAAAAACGATAATTAAATCTCTTAAATTACCTAAGATTTTGACCGAAGTTGAATTAGTAATGTTGAACCACAAAAACCAAGACTACTTAAACAGTTTCAAAGCATCATCTATAAGAGGGGAATCATTAAAAACTATAATTTGATACTCATTTATCTTTATTATTATGAGTATAATTTGTACAAAGTTGTTTGATCAATTTAATCAATTATACTCTTCTTTTAATCCTTCATACTTTATCATAGGTGTGACAGCATTTAACTAAGGAATACAACATTTATCTGATTTGTCTGTAAATTATATGTTAAAAGATGAATATGGTTTATCACCAGCTATGATGGGATTATATTTAAGTTACACAACACTTCCATGGATGATTAAACCATTTTGGGGAATCATAACAGACTCAAAACCATTACTAGGTTACAGAAGAAAATCTTATATAATATTATTTGGAATATTGGATGCATTAGGTTGGATTATGATGTCTAAAAATAAAGATGGTAGTTTAGTTAGTGTATTGCTACTATTATTTTTGATATAATTATCAATTTGTTTTGTCAATGTAGTAGGAGAAGCAATATTAGTAGAAGTAGCGGCATAGGCATAGAGAGAATAACAATAAAATAATTTTCAACATGGAGCATCAAGAAATGTATCAATATTTTTTGGTGTAAGAGCAGTAGGTTCTCTTTTGAGTGCATACTCATCTGGAGCTTTGTTACATTATTTTACTTATTAATAAAGTACACTATAAAATTATTAATAGTATTTATGATAACCTCTATTTTTCCAATGATTTTAGTTTTTGTTTCATTTTTTTATTAAGAATAAAGAATAGATTTAAATTAGTTGGATTAAAATGATAGAAAAAACAATACTACTTAATGTTTAAAAGACTTTTGGTAATTTTTTAAAAATCCATTAATTTATAAACCAGTGATGTTAATTTTTGCATTTATGATGGCTCCATCTAGTTCTACAATTATGTTTTTCTTTTATACTGAAGTATTAGGATTTGATCCAAAATTTTTAGGTTAATTGAAATTTATGGTAATAAATAATTTAATATTTCTCAGTATGCTGTAGCTTCAATTTCTGGTGTGTTAATATATAACAATTTTTTGAGAGACATACAATTTCGTAAGATATTCTTAGTTACAACATTCCTATATTATTTATGTTATTAATCTATAATAATATTGGTAACGAGAAAAAATGTTGAATGGGGAATAAATGATAAAATCTTTTGTATTGGAGATTAAGTAATGTTATAATTTGTTGGGGAATTAAATATTATGCCAGTATTAGTTTTGGCTTGTAGAATGTGTCCAAAACATATTGAAGCTACTATGTATGCTATGTTAATGAGTACTATAAATTTTGGTATAATTTACTAATTATAAAAAAGGATCCATGTTAGGTAGTTGGTTAGGAGCTCTATTTTTGATTTGGATGAAGATTGATTAAACAGACTATTCTAGATTATGGTTATTTATTGCAATTACAGGAGTTTTTATATTATTACCATTACCTTGGCTTTATGTTGTTAGAGAAGATGAAATTCTTAAATAAAGAGAAAAACCAATAGAAGAAGATAAAAAAGAAGTGTAAAGTTCTACACCTAGTACTAGCAAACGTGATGAAGTAGAGGAAAAAGTTCCATTATTATCAAATGAAGATAATCCAAATTAATGAAAAATCAATGTCGTATTAACAGATACAATTTTTATTTATTTTATTTCACATCTTGACTTCTTTTAATCCATCTAAAATGTATACAAAAGCTGGGGCAGCTTATCCTTCTTTGTAATAACCAAGAACAATGTGGTTTTCCATATCATATGATTCAGGACAGTAGCTAAATAATAGATTACTATATAATACAATTAGAGATCATTGAAATTAGCAGAAACCCATTTAATGAATTCGCCAGCTCCCTTTTAGAATGGAGCAACTCTGTTTGGTTTATTTGCTTCTAAATAAGCCTTAACTTTTTTGGCATAAGTTTTGAAATAAGTAACATAATCAGCTTTTGTGAATTAGGTTTCAGCATATTTAAAGGCATCAATTATGTTATTAACTTTTTAGGCTTGATCCTCTACACCTGCATCTTCTTCATCTTCGTTCTTACCACCAAAATGACCTCCAGCACCTAAAAATAGAATATTATAATATTTTACCAACATCTACATTGAGAGCACCTTTAACAATATCTTGGGATTACACTTCACCAATAACTCCTTCAAATTTTTCTTCCATATTGAAACTGTCTGAAACGATTTCCTCTCCACTGAATGCATCAACGTAGATCTTCATATAGGTTATTCTAATACCTTCATTTAATTTTTATCTAAAAAAAAGATTTAAATTTGCAATCAGCATTATATATGTTTTATATTAATATATTTATCAGTTATTATGTATTCAAAAAATCCTTATACACGTTCTGCTTTCAAGCAACCAGAACCAAGTTATTACTAATATCCTTAAGATGAATATTACTATCAACCTCAACCACCCCCTTATTATTAATAGCCTCCACCTCCTCCATATTATGAATAACCCTACCCATCTTATCATTAATAACCTTAACCATCATTTTATGAATAATAATATCCAAATTATCATGATTAACCATACCCTCCCTATTAAACTTCAATTCCTAGAAAAAGTTTCACAGAATCTTCATTAAAGCCCTATTCCAATTATTATGAAGGAGATGGAATGATTACAGATATAGAATATTTAGACTTTCCTGCAGATAAAACATATAAACGTACTCCTCTTAATTAAAGAACTCATAATAAAATAATAAGCAATAAAAAATAAAGTATTTAAATAAATAAATTCTAAATAGTTAGGAATCCTGTTACTATTTTCTTTACTACATTATTAGAATAATTAAATACTGAAAGATCATTAGAGCAACTTAAAAGAAAATTAGTGATTGCCTAAGATTTTCATGTTCCTACATTATTTAGAGTAAATTTTGATTTTATTCTTAGATAATTGATAAGAATAATACTTAAAATATTACATTGGAAGAGTTGTATTAAGGATTCTAAGATCTAGGCATAAAAGTAGAATACAATCAAATTTACTTAGTATACACTAGATTTTCAGAATTGAATAACAGAGATAGAATGTCACTCGAAGAATTTGAACAGATATTTTTACCTCTTGGATAGACTTCTAAACCAAAAAAGAATTATTAAACAGTAATAAAATATTTGATTTAAATTTTTAGTAACTAGGACCTTAAACATTATCAATATTGAATGAACTCATAAAATTATATTAATTAAATGAGCAAAGATTTGAAAACTCTAGAGCTTTATTGTAAAAAGAAGGAATAGATATGTCATAAATATATTAAATGATTGATACTAATTAATCTAGAAATATAGGATTGAATGAATTTATGAATGCACTTAATTCTTATAGTGCAGTTAAAGTTGTACCATCAGAAGCAGCATTACTATTTATGAGATTTGATAGAACTAGAAATGGAACCATATCTTTTATGGAATTTAAAAGAGAAATGGAATAAAAATTGACATGAATATAATTTTACTTATTATATTTCATTAATAAATAATATTACAATATAATTATTGTATTTACTATTGTTTTACAACCATAAATAACTTATCAAGATGAAAGTTGATTATTACTAAAAATAATCTTATATTCAGTAATATTATTATTATTCAATGATAATTTTGATTATAATAAAGTAGATGGTGAATCTTAATTAATTGTTTAAAATTTAAAAGAATGTTAATATTGGTATTATTCTAATTAAGTTGACAGGAGGCAAACAATCAATTTTTATTATTTAATATTTTTCAATAAATAAACATATTAATACTCTAAGTAAGATAGAAATTTTTGAAGAAATTAATAGGTTGTATAATCATATAAATTTTTAATTTAATATCTTTATAATAAATTTAATAAATAAATTGAATATTAATTTAAATTCACTGAATTAATAGCATAAATAAAACAGCAAAATGTAATATTTCTAAAAAGCAATAGACATTAGCATTTTATCCACAAACATACTATATAATATATAAATGTATGAAATTACTCCAGCTCCAAGTGAGATACAAGGCAAACATTCTTAATTGTCTGCAACATATGCTCCATAGATACAATTTTTACAAGTTCCATCATTATTATATTGAGCACAATATTATGTTCCAGGATAACAACCTCTATCCTAAAAATCTAAGTTGATATGTATATACTTTCATATAAAATCCTTTAAGACAAGATGTACATTCTCTGCCTTAAGTACCTTGACAATTAGAACAACCTGGAGGACATAATTAACATGTTTGTGCATAAAGGAAAAATTATGGTAAACAACTTCTACATATATCATTAGGACATGATGAACAATTTTTAACTGAACATTTTACACACTATTGTAATGTACTATAATAATATCCTGGAGAACATATATCACAAGAGTTTGAAGAAGAACATTCATCACATCCTTCCATACATTAAATACATTCATTATTATTTAAGTAATTAGATTGAATACATTTATTGCAAATTACTCCTTCACTATATGAACATTCTAAACAATTTAAAATAGTTGAACATGGATAACATACTCCATTATTTAAAATGTAATGATCAGCACATTAAGAACATTGTCCAATAGAATCAACCATTTTAATGCATCCATTATTATTTTGAACACATATATTAGTATTAATTTCTTAATCTGTTTATTGAATTAAAAAGTAATTGGCTGAACTAATAGGATCTGCAATATTAGTAAAACATTAAGTGGGATAAATGGATGGAGATTATCCAGATTCATCCAAATTTGTACAAAGTTCATATAATTCATTCTAATTCAAACAAGAATAACAAGTTCCTTGATATAAGTAATATCCATTTAAACAAATATCACAAACAACTTAATTATTTCCTTTGACTCTAAATTTTTCACATCCTGGATCTACTGGAATTAAATAGCATTAAGAATTTATTAACATATAAGTATCAGAACATTTAGTACATTTAGTTTGATCAGAACATTCCAAACAATTTATATTCATATCACTATTTCCAATACAAAACTAACATTAATTATTCTATAAGAAATATCCTTATTTACATGTAACACATGAATTACTATCTGTACAAGTTAAACATTAATTTAAGCAATCCACACAAATTTAATTTTATAAATAAAATCCATCTATACAACTCAAAACCTATTTACTATCACAATTCTTAGCATTTTTTATATTACATTCTAAACATCTTCCTGCTCCATTGAAATATGCATTATATTAATTATATTAACCTGTCTATTCACCCCAATAATATCCACTTTGACATTCTATACAAGTTCCTCTAGACGTACACAAAGAACAACCTGGCCCACATTTCTCACATTACATTACTTCATTCAACCATGAACCATCTGGACATTTCAAACAAAATGTTGTTGATGAATCTCTTTCAATACAATCCAATGTGGAATAAGCCTCTTCAATACCTTATGGTAAATTATCCAATGCAATATTCCAATAAGGAATTCCCCATAATCCAAATCCAAAGAACTTAACATTCCCTAATCTTGGATTAAAACTCAGTGGTACACAGATATTTGCTATTAATATATACTAAATATTTATACCTATTAGTTAATATCCTGTTTAGCATTTATTGCAAATAAATCCATTTATTCCATTTAAAATACATGAACTACATCCTGTTGGACATTGTACACATTTCTTTTCTCCTTCATCTTAATATACCCAACCATCTTAACATTCTAATCCTCCATCACAACCCATATAAGAACTACATTTACATCCTTTCTCACAAGGTAAGCATGTTTATCCTGTCCAAAAATATTCAGATTAACATGAATATGACACTCTCTTGCTTAAGCAAACATTAACTAAAAGATAAACTAATATAATCATTATAAAATATAATATAAATCTATTAAATTCTTTATTTTTAAATAACCTATTATTCTTCTCTTCTAAGTTTATAATATAGATTTAGGTTTTGCACTATTAACACTATTAACACTATGATTTAATAAATATTATTACCAAGTATTCTAAATTATAGAAAATCAACACAAAAGTTAACATCTATTTTTTTAAATATTTTGCAATAATTTCTAATAGAGAGATGATGAAAAGGATATGTTAAGAATAAAAGGAAAATTGTGTAAAAAATGCTAGAAATTGATCTATAAAAAATGAATGGTTATATTATAATTTCTATTAAACAATCTAGAAAAATAGAATTACTTATAGAATGATAATTTTGCTTTATTCAGTAATTAAGAAGAAGTTCAGAAATTAAGAAGAAATTCATAATACAAAAGATTCTAGAAGATTTGAATATATTTTATTTGATTTATTGAAGAGTCAGAAGAAAAAGAATATTTTTATTATATTTATAATCATTTTAAATAGTAATGGATTAACCAAGACACGTTTTCAAAAGAGTAAAAGAACGATCTATAATGGATGCAAAACATAGTGTTGATGAATGGAGAAATTTATTCAGGAATGGGGAAACAGATCAAAATGGAAAAAAGATTAAGTACAGTCTCAAATAAGCTGCAGAAAAAGTTGGAGTACCAAAAAAGACTTTAGAAGATTATCATTAGTTATTAAAGTAATAAAAAAATAGTATCTTTAAGAAAGGCTGAATAGTTTATAGATTTGAACGAAGTTGGAGATAAAAAGATGGGGTTTTTGAGAAATCTATTAAAAAATCAATAACAATAACAAATTTAGTCAGAGATTTTTTCAGATGAAGAGAATTATATCAAAAATTAATAAGAAGAGAATGAGGGAATGTAATAAGAAGAATAATAATAATTTCATTATGAAGATATGATTGTGGATGGAGATATATATAATTATAATGTTGATGAATAGTTTGAATATTTCTAATTGGATGTTTAAACAGTAATGATTCATCAATAACTAAATTATGATAAGAAAATAGAAATTCCAGACTATGATTGTGATGATTGTGAAACAGATGATGAGTTTTATAATGAATGAATCATTATATATCATAAATTTCCTTTCAACCCTACAAATAATCCATCAAATCATCCATAAATTATCCACCAGGTTTTTGTTTATGTTCAATTGCTGCTTTCAAAGCCTCCTAAAATACCTTAACTACATTTGTTCCATCTGCTGAAGATGTGTAATAAATAGGGAGATTGTTACTCTCTGCAAACTTAAATTTAGTCTCAGTTACACTAGGATCCACTAAATATTTGATATATTAATATACAATCTATTTTATTGGCAACCAATAAGCAAGGAATAGTAGGACAATTTTATCTCATCTCTTCATACCATTTCTTTAAATTTGTATAAGTAATTTTCCTTGTAACATCAAAACACTTATTTAAATATACCATTTACTAAAATACAAGCATGAGCGCCATAATAATATGAAGCATGAAGAGTCTAGAAACATTCTTATCCAGCAGTATCCCATAAGTCTATATTTATTAACTTATACTAAATACCAATTTTATAGGTTTTCCCTTCAAACTTTGCATTATGTCTATACATTGTTAATGCATATGTAGATTATTATCTTTCTTCATAATCATCTAATAGAAATCTCTCAACTAATTTTGATTTTCCTACTGCTGAATCACCTAGTAGAATAATTTTCAAATCAGCTTTAGAGAATTCATTTTCATCATATTCCCTAACCTTTCTTTTCATTATTTCGAGAATATTTCTGAATTATTTAATTATAAAATCTAAATTTATAGATATCTAATCAAAATAAGTATTAAACGTGACTACTTACTAAATATAGATATTAATATGAACTATTAAGAATTACAAAGAATATTTTAAGTATCATATAAATTTTTAATAGAATTAAAATAAATTAGATTGATTGATTCAAATGAACGCTAACTGATTATAGAGAATAAATATTCTATTTCATTTAAGTTAAGATAAGTCTTTGAATTATTGAATATGGATGGAATCAATACCTCAAAATAACATATCACATTAAGAAGATCAAAATTTGAAACTATAGTTCTAACGATCTAAATATACAATAAATTTAAGTTTCTAAATATCTATAATTTAATCTTTAGACTTTAAATTTAATAATAATTCTACTAAGTATGAAAATCTGTTTAATAAATTATCTATAAATAAAAATCAAACTAAATAACCATATATCTAAATAATTTAGATAATAATAAACCATATTTAAACAAATACAATTTCTACAAATGCAAGAATTTTTAATTTTGTGACAACAAATTTGGTGATACCATATATTATAAATAATACTCATATTATAATTAATATATGAAATCAACTTTATTCCTTATCTCCTTTTTTTGCCTTTTCTGCTTCAGCAGCTGCTTAAGCTTCAACAGCTGCAGCTAGTTTAGCCTCTTCTATTGCTTTTCCACATAATTGTATGCCTATCATTGTAAAATCACCCTCTTATTATTAAATAAGTATTAATATTACATTAGGAAATAATGTATTCTGATTGGGCTTTTGTTCTTATTCTAATAATTTCAAGATCATTCTAAATAATTACGTTAAATGAATACATCAGCACTTCTTAATTCTCTTTGAATGCATTTCTTAGTTACATTCCATAAATCAGCCACTAAAGCAGACATATGAACAGCTTTATCATAAGTAATATTCTTTTCTGATCTTTTTAGTGGAATACCTAATAATTATGAATATAGTTTAATTACAATCTTAATTAAATATCACAAAACCATTTGCGCCTTCCACATTTGATAATCCTTTTAATACTTCATCTACATTAATATCATTAATAGGTTGCTGATTGAATATATATGATAAGTTACCATCTTTAAATTTATAATATAATTAAATAAATTAAATTAATATAATAATAAATGATCATTTATAATATTATATAATTACATATGCTCCTATCCAAGCACTAATTAAAAAACCATGTAATGATAATTAATTAAGAAAATTAAAGATTCTATTTTACATTATTTCTATTTACTAACTCTATATTTTATTTTCTTTCACATTTTAATGTTCTTTTCCTTTTTCTACATTTTCAATAAATTGATAATTATGTTTAAAAGATAATTAATTAATTTTATTGAGCAATTCCTAATTCTCTTTAAATATTTATTATTAATCATAAAAAAGATGATGTTTTATATCTTGCCTTTAATCACCTTAAATTCTTTATAATTATAATTTTAACAACTTTATCTCTCCTTCTTGATATTTAATAGTATTTTCTTTTAATTCTATCTAATATTTTAATTAAGTAATTTCATTTTATAATAGATTATTATCCTCATTTAAACTATAATTTTGATCATTCATTTCTTATTCTACTTAAAACCCTAATTATTCTAGTTATTATATTTAATGTTTTAATGCTTTAATCTAAGATACACTATAATAATATTACCTCTTTTCTTAATTATTAATTTTCCTTATCTTTAATTTATAGATCTTTATTCAATTATTATATTTTTTAAGTTTAATTTGTTATCTAATTTTTTAATTCATAATTGCTTGCCTCTATTAATTACATTTTTTTAGCTTGAACTGTTAAATTATTTTATAAGTTATTATTCAACAAGTACACAATATCATAATAATCTGGTAAATTATCTAAATTAGAACTATATGAATCTTTTAAAAATTTTATTAGTTAATTTATTAATTTTGCTACTGCATTAACTTTTTTACATATCTATGGATCATCTTTTTGAATAGGTTATGTAGATTTGATAAAACTCTTTAAATATTCAAATTAAAACTACCATCATATCATTGCATTTTCCAAATACATCATAATCTAAAACTAACAAGTCATTTATTTCCTTCATATCTTGATTAGACATATAAAATATTTATTTTTAATAAAATTATTAATCATAGCATAATTCAATTTTATCTATATAATCACAATATTATTTATGTGTAGATACAATTAAATTTACTAAATTTCCCTCATTTAAATTTATATATATAAATTTTATGTCTTCGAATGACTATTCACATCCTCTTTGTACTTGGTTTCTAATAATTTACTATTTAATAAATTTTAGACAGTTTATATACTTTATTCTGAATACTCTTTATTTTCCTCTATTAATTGCTATCTCCTATTATTTATTTAAAATAATAATACTTTTCTAAATTTTAACCAGAATCATCATTCAGACAGTATTTGGAATATATTTATTCATTAATAACACAATATTGTGTATGCATAAATCAAAATTATTTTCATATATTATAGGTGTCTAGTGAACTCTATAACATCACAAAAATATTTGATATTATCATTTTTTTAATTTGCAACAAAGTACATATCTTTTCCACTTCTTGAAAGAGTCTATAAAATGTTGACCAATATTTCAAGTGAAAAATTGATAATTTTATACAATAATTATTTTTTGGTGTTATTCTAAAATTTTAACATAAACATTACAAATTCTTTTATTGGGAATGAAAACTCTTTAGTGTTTTCTATTTCTCTTGATTTTAATCTACTGCAATTTAATCAATTTAATAATAAATTATTCGTTTAAAATTAAAATTTTAATTGTATTCATTAAAAATATAATAAAGTAGTGTTTTAATAAAAACTTTATTCATGAATTATTGTAATGATTAAAATTATATATAAAAATAGAAGTATTTTATTTGAATACATAATAAATTTCTTCAAAATATTCTAAATACTTTTTAAAATGGAAAAATATATTTGATTAAAATCTTATTATCTAAATAATTAACAATTTTATATAAATTAAATCTCCATAAAATAAATCTCTTTTTTTGATATTAACTTTTCAATTTTGATTAATTGATTAGACTTAAATATCTTATTATATTTAGTATTATTAAACATAGAATAAGATGATTGTTATAATTGTTTCAATTAATTTTAATATGAAATAATATAATATTAGATCTATGACAATTTTGCTTCATCAACATAATATTGAAAAAATTGTTTAGAAGATATAATAAGATTGCTAAGAAAGAAATTCTATTTTACATAAATCTGAATAAGAGGATTAAGATTTTTTTTTTTCAAAGCCAATTCAAAAAACAAATGGTAATTCTAGTTATAGATAACCAATGAGTGCTCGTAGTTTATATTTTACTCCAATGAAATCTGTAAAGTCACATAGGTAAATGCAGCAATAAAAAGAAGTTAATCATTTTGAAGATGGAATTGAATCTATAGATGGAGATCAATCTAACCTTTTGACAGTCATACTTTAATTATAAGAGCAAATTAAACAATAAAAAGAACAAATAGAAAAATTGAATTAAAAATGTACAATACTTGAAGCTGAAAAGGATGAAGCATAAAAACCAAATATTGAATAAATTACAATTACTGCTAATCTGCTTTAATAAAATGAATAACTTAGGTAATAATTATCAAGATTAAAGAAAAAATAATGATTAGTTTTATTTAATATCATAAACCTTTAAAAAATACTATACACCATTCATTTATTGCTTCTTAAGCAGCTTATCTAACAACTCTCTTAGGATAATTTAAATATCTTTTAAATAAATTAATCCCTGTATTATAAAGATCTAAATTATATTTAGCTTCCTCATAGTTATTCATTACAATATTAATTAAAGTATACAAAACCTTGATATCATTGGTTTCTAGTTTAGCCAATTAGTCAATAACTTTTAAATTCAGTAAAGGACACCAATTCACAATTAAAGCAAGTTATTTTAGTTTATCAATTTTAACATCATTGAAATATTCAATAATTAATTACATAACTTCAAGATTTGCTAAATCATTAATGAATTCTTCATCTATTTAATTGATTAAATAATTTATTGTTTATTTATGATTTAATTGTTTAATTATTTCAACTATTGATTTTTATAGAAATGGTTTATTTTCTACTTCTTTATGTTTAATAATTTGAATTATTAATTAAGGATGACTCTAAGATAATTCTTTCAATTTTTCAAAAACTTTTTCATTATTAAACACCATCTAAATTTAATAATAAATTTATATACCTATTATCTAAGTATAATTAGATATAATTGTAACTAATTTAAATGATAATCATTAAATAATATCTCCATTTATGATATTGATGGAAAATTTAGATTTAATTCTTTTTGATATTTTGATAAACAAGAACTATATATATTATTAATAATTTACTAAATTAATTTATATATATATCTTCTATTTATTATTTACACATCTTTCTATATAAAGTCTTATTTGTATATCATTTCATGTATAGATTAAATGAGATTTTCATTCAAATCATAATCCATTAAAGGAATATAATAATATAATTATTCATCTTCAAGATTAAGTATATATTCAATAGTAATATCTTTAATTATATTTTAACTAAAAGCAAATTACTTTAATATGAATTAAATTAATTGTTTTATTAGTTTGTTTTTTCTATTTTTATTTAAAGGATTATAAATATGGTTGATAACTAATTAAGCCTAATTTTATCTTATTTAAAAAGGAATTGTATTATTATCTAAATAACCTTTAAGAGCAGATATTTACTCTGATTTTATTTAAGGATGTTAATTATTAATTAAATTTAATGTAAATTATGAAAAATGATCTTAGATATTGTATAAAGAGCATGTTAAACTGTAATCATATAGTAATTAATTATTTTCCTACCAAAAATTGAGTAACTATTAATATTATTTAATATCAACAATTCCATTTTTAGCAAAATAATCTAAAATGCATTATTATTCTAGAAGTTCCCTATTATTAATTTAATTATATAAAAATATTTCCAAATTTTATTATTAATCTATGTAATACTTCATAATATCAGCTAAACATTTAAGGGTAAGAATAAAGACATTTTACATCTTATGATTTATTCCTTATTATAATTTATCATATAATTGTGATTTTTGATTATTGTTTAATTCAGAAATAAAATCTCTATTATATTTTTTATATTCTGCAATTGTTGAGATTACATTCTCTAACCTTTTTTAAGTAACATTAATATTTTTTGTATCAAATTTTTTATTAAATATTTGAACAATATCTTAAAAAATTGTTTCTTCATTATTTTAAACTAAAAGTTTTAAAAAATTAAAATAAATAAATCCTTATTAAGTTGCTGGTATTTCTTCAATAGTTTTCAAAGAAATTGTTTTTATTTTTGCTTTAACTTTTTTAAAACTCTCATTATTACAAATTTCAATTAAAGTAATTGGAATTAATTAAATAACATCGTCATCCATAATAACTTATTCTGCAAGTTTTTAAATAGATTCAAATATCTCTTCAATTTAGGTTATAGTAATTTTATTTTAATTTTTAATTATCCACATAACACTTTTAAGTGCTGATCCTTATGCCCTATCATAAGCTGATACAATCTTATCTTGTAAAAGTAATATTGATTCATTTAATAATACTTCACTAAATAGACATTTATTAAGTATATGTTCAATTTCTACTTTTTTAATTTAAAATCTAATTTAATATATATATATCATACCTTGGATCTGCTTTTTCATTAAATTCTATAGGATAATAACAATCTAAAAACTCAAAAATTTCTCTCTTATATTAACTTCCTATATTTTTTTCTTATAATATAGCATCACATAGTTAAAATGCAACTAAAATATTTCTTGGATCTTTTTCTCCTATAATACTCTAGAGTATTAATGAAGCTAATTCAAATGTAATAGGAAAATTAAGAAAAATTTGATAAAAATTAATTCTTGCTTCTCTAGAAAATGAAGGAATAATTATCTATTTGTTCTATATCATTTTTATAAATGTAGGATGAATGCTCTTTTAAGATTTACTTAATTTTAGTAAAATATATGTTGTATCAAGTAAGGATTAAGGATCACTTAATTTGTGGAGAAAAAATTCAATTAAGAATTCTGATTCTTCTTAATTAACATCAAGTTATTCTAATTATTCTCTAAATTAATGAGTAGCTTTAGCTCTTATTTAATCATCTTTTGAAGTCATTTCATTTTAAAGTTATTTGAGAACATTGAGCATTAATTAAATAATATAATCATAAAAAGAAATCCTTTGGAAATTTATGGCTATTTCTAACTTTAACTCTAACTCTTTCCTCTGAATTTTATCTACTATTACTATCTCGTAATTTATGTTCATCTTCAAACTTTTTCTTTAATTCTCCAGTCGTTAAGAGTAATAATTCCAAAATATTGTTATTTGCATGTTTTTCTAATTCTAATTTTATATTTTTTTGTTGTTGTTTAACTTGATTATCTTTAAAAAAGCTTCTCAAAGGAATCATATTTGGTTTAGATACTTTTTAAAATAATTCTTATGAATCATTGATTCTACTAGAGATAGGAGGTTTAGCAGCAGATGATTACTAAAATTTTATTTGTAAATTACTCTATTATGTGATGAATATACAACTTTTTCTTTGAATCCATTCAACTATTATTAAGATCTACTAGGTTTAACATTTCTTGGAGTACTGTTGAATATATTAAAAACTCTAATTTTCTCATTTGAGCAACACTTCTCTGCTGAAGTAGGCATTCGAATTTGCTTCTTATTATAGAGTGAAATGGATCTAAATTTAGTTAACTCTTCTTTTCGAGTTTCTTCCATGTCGATTGGTTTTAATGCTGGTTTTGTTTCTGTTGCTATGCTTCTCTTTAAATAGTTCTTTATTATAGTTAATAAGATCTACATGTTATTCAAAATGTCGAGTGTGTTCAGAATCTTTAGTATGTACTCTTTTTTATTGGAAGTAGTCTTTCGAGTTGCATTGCAAGAGGTACTTTTTGAGCATTATAAAATTAATATAATTCAATTCTTTTCTCTTTCAATACATTATAATAGGTCTTTGTACAAGTAGTTAATGGCATGTTTAATTTATTCTGAATCAGATTCTCTATCATCATCAGATTTCTTTAATTTTTTTAAATATAATTCTTACATGTTTTTATAAGATTGATTAGTATTTCTCAGGAATATTTAAATCTTTATCTTCATAGCAGATAAATTATTTCGAGGATTTATGTTTTTTCAAATTTATTGTGGTCTTTATTTAAATAACAGAAGTACATATTTATGTTTCTTACTTATCGGTCCTCTTTTCTTTCTAGGAGTTTAAGCACTGCTGTTAAGGGGGAATTCACTAATAGATACATTCTAAAATAAGGCTTAAAAAATAGTTAATATATAAGGTATGAGATTTTTGAGAAATTATAGTTAATACCTCTTAACAAGTCACTGACAAGTCTTCTCTTTATGATTATCTCTAAGAATTCCTTGTTTTCATTATTTTTAATAAATTTTTTAATCTATAGATCACTAGCATACTAAGACAATTATATTAACATAAAATAATAAATCAAATTTTCATTTTCACTTTAAAAAATATCTATTCATTTATCTGATAAGATTTAAAAATCCTTATATTTCAATAATCTACCAATATCATTAAATAGTAATGGTAATTTAACATTTATTATAATGTTAAACTTTATCTTATAATCTCAAACAAAATTATTTTAAGGTAAGAATTTAAATAATATCATTATTTATCTTATATCTCATAAGTCAGAAATAAAATTATAATTATTTATCAAAGACATCAATTAAATAATGTTAACTATCAGTTTGATTGTGATATTTATAAAGATAATTTTTTAATTCTCATAATAAACCTTTAAAAATCCATCATTTATTAATAAAATTTGAGATTTTCTAAATTATATAAGTTTCATAAATTATCCAATTTTTAGGTTGTTTTATTTAAATGTACAAAAATTATAAATACTATTTATTATATTATACAAATTATATTATAATTATCGAATATAGTTTATAAATTTTGTATGAAATGATTCAAAATGAAAACATCAATATTCCATAGTTTTTAATGAATAAATATATAATTAATTTATTTAATTAACAAATATGATTAAATATAAGCGTGAATTATTTAGAACTCAGATTAGACAATAATTTCATTAAAATGTTTTCAAATAGAAAAGAGTATTAGCTAATACATAGATATAATAAACTTTTTCTTATAATCAATTAATTGACATGATTAAAAACCCTAGAATAATAACATAAGAGCATTTGAAAGAATTGAATGCTTGCTTACTTTTTTGTATTAATTAGAAATTATCAAATGAACAAATTTAGTTAATTGAGAGCAATATTGATAATTTACTCTCTCTTTTAATGTATTAGATTATAAATAAAAATACTTTAATTTTGGAGTCATTAACAATATTTATCAATTTAACATTTTTTTCAGATGAAATTTAAGATAAGTTACTCACTAATAAATACATGAATTTCAATATCCTTTAAATTATATCAGGATTAATTTCAAATGGAAATGAAGTTAGAACTGCATTAGAACTTTTAATAAATGTTTGGTGCAATTCTAATTCCCAAAAATTAGAATAATTAGATCTTATAATTGCTATTAATGATCTTACTAATAATTCTATTTCTAAAAATGATAATTAGACAATTTTATTAATATCAAAATGTCTAAAAAATTTTGTTAGTTGTATTTATGATGATTTTTTACTTTTTGATTGTGATTATTTAGTGGAATTGATAAAAAAACTATTAAATTATGGATTAAAAGAAAAACCATAATTTATATCAGATTAAATTGAGATTTACTGTATTATAGTATAGAAATTAAATTTAAACTTTTTATAATAAGATAAAGATTTAATACTAAATTTGATAAATTTAAGTATGGAATGTATAACATTAGTAGATTAAATTACTAAATTATTATCCTATTTTTGTATTAATGAAACACAATGTTTTTATGAGTTATTATAAAATCAAGTTATTGAATATTGTAAATTTGTTATCAGATTAAATAACAATGAAATAATACCTTCAGTACTGAATTTATTAAGTATAATATTTTTTTAATTATCATAAACTTTTAATAACTTATTGTAACCTTTTTATGATGATAGTGTTATACTTAAAGAAATTATAAGGTTAAGTGAAGGTTGTTACCCTAAAAAGGTAAGAGAAGCTTCAATACGTTGTATAAAGATATTAATTGAAAGTTCAAATGAATTATAAATTTAGAATTTAGTTGATTTGGAAGCTCATTTAATTTTAATAGATTTATTAAAAGACTTTTCTCTTGATTAATTTTCTACCTTATTTACTTTATAATCATTAAATAATTTATTAAGTGTTTTTAGTGTTCAAGCATTTTAAATGGATTATCCACATCATTTAATGTAATACGCTTTGTCAAATAATTAAGAGATTGCAGATGAAGCTAATGAAATATTATTGAAATTTGAAGATGATTTTCATAATATATGTTAGTGAATATTTACTATAAAAAAATAAACAAATATATTTTATATTAAAATTCTATTTATTTCCCTCTTTTCCTTATGATTTTAATAAAGATTTGTTATCATTAATTTTGATATCTTTATATAACAATTATTCAATATAAATTTTTATCATCTTATCAATAGTTAATTGTTGAATAAAATGGAAAATTTATTTTATTTATAAAAAATAGATAAATAATATTGATTGAGATGATTGAAACTGATAATTTCAATAAGAAGTATTCTCCTATATAATTATTATGGTTTTAATTCTATTTCCAATTTTCATAACCAATCAAATGAATTATTTGGAATAAGAATTTTAATTGAATTAATTTTTCTCACATCTTAAATAATTTTTATTGCCTTATGATTAATTTGTAAGCAATTGTTAGTTTGGATACAGGTGAAAAAATAGAATAAATTTGTATTTATGAAGGAGATGACATTGAACTATTAACATAATTTTTTTGTGATAGACATCAAATTAGATAAGAAGGAAAGTAATTTATAATTGCAGAGATCAAAAGATAGCTAAAAGTGCCAGTATTAATTTTTTTTAGTTTTTTAGGTAAAAACTCGTCATACTTCTATTCTCTCTTTAAATACATAGCAACTTGTATAAAAATTATACAGAAATAAAACAGGTATTAAATTTAATAATAAAAGAGACCAATGTTTTTGAATAGTTGTATGCAGATGCCATTAACTAGAAAAAAAGATTGAAGACTGCTTTATAAGAATATGATCAAGAATAATAATAAATAAATTATGCAATTCCAAAGATTAATAGCATATCTCGTTTAATAGTAAAAGAAAGAGGTAGTTCTGAAGAACCAATTCATTCAAAATTATATTAAGATGCAAAATTGATTGATACAAAAAAGAAAATTTTAAGGGAAAGAGTAATGAGTTAAATATATCCATTTCATCCAAATTGTGGTTTAAATGTTAAGAAGAAACCTTAAAAGTAAGAATAAATATAACATGCTGAAAAATTGATTTAAGAATAAGCTGATTAGAAATTGAAGTTATAATAAAAAAGATTAGCATAAGATACATCTTAAAAGGATAAAGCTACTAATTAATAATATTTCAAACCATTAATAAGAAAAGATCAAACATTTAGACTTGTTAAAAAGAAAGTAGATAAGCAAGATGAGATACTGGCAAATTTAATTGCAAATAAAATGATAAAATTGAATAATAAAAATTCTAATTTGATTAATAATGAAAAGGAAGTTGTTAACAATATTAATTTTGTTGAAAAAATATTTAAATAATTAGATTCAGATAGGGATGGTTTGATATCAATTTAATATATCAACTTAAATATAAATGAAAAAGTGTTAAAAAAAATTCATCCAATTTTGAATTATATTGAGGAAAAAAATTTAGAAATTAATCTTGATTACTTTTTCTAACTATTAAAATTATTTCATATTAAATTAGATTGATTTCCTTTATAAACCTAGATTCTAATCATACAATTTTTATATTTATAATTTATTGAATAGACCTTATATTCTTATAATATTTAATATATTAAATTAATATATTATCATATGAGTTTTAACAATCAAAATTATATGTTTGAAGAATTTAAAGTGGAAGAAATATAATTTATACCAGAAGTTAGATAAACTAAATCTATTGTTGCTAATCCAAATAAAATTAATAAAAAGTTATTTTATCATTATATTTAAGATATTCAATTTGTTCATATTGTTTAGCTTATTAAGAAAATGAAGATAATACACCTTATTAATGTAAGAATATAACATGTGGTAAATTTGTTAAAATACCTGTATAATATGAAGTATTTCAATGTCCCACATGTTATGCAAATATTCTGCATCAACCTTATAGTATCTTAATATAATTCAATTAGGTTCAATAATTTGTTCATAGTGCAAGAAAATTGTAAAATGGTCTGATCAATTATTAAATTAAGCTTCTTAATTAACTTAAGGCATAAAAAAACAATATTGAAGATTATATAATTTTTGTAATTCTTATTATATTCATTTAAAACATAGAATTCTAATTTTTGGAATTTTGATTATTTCTAATCAATTTCATTTAATAATTATGAATTATAAATATTTTATACTAATCTTAGGATGTGTCCTAATAACAATTAATGGAAGCAAATGTAAAAAAGTAATTAATTCTGATGCTGTTTATATATTTGATGATTTATAAACAAAGGAATATAAATAAATTCTAAACGGTATTCTTTATTGATAATTTAGAAACAAGTACATTATATTTCCGATTTTGTTAATCAATTCTAAAATGTCCACAAATAACATATAATACATTTGCTGTAATTATAAATAATGAAGGAACACCAGAATAATAATGCATATCATTGATTAATACAAATTAATACTTTGCAGATTCATTTGAACTTATTAATTAAGATCAATCTAATGAAGGTGTGCAGGCAGAATTTAACAAGTATTGATATAATTTCATTAAAAAATAGTACATTAAATGGATTTTCAGTAAAATATATACTTAATTGTTAAGATGAATAAGAAGGTATTAAGATATTGGATATATCCTATGAAAAGGATAAACAATTATACACTATTGATATGGAAGCTGAAGATGGATGTCCATTAGTTTTATTTTCTTAAATTGTTTAATTTCTAAATGACAATAAGAAATTTCTTTCTGCTATTCTAATAATAATTGGCTTAACAGAATGCTTAATGGGTAAATAAATCTTAAAGCCAACTCTATTTATTTTTGGTTACTTAATTGGCTTTTTCTTTTCACTTTATATATCTAGTGAATTAGATATGGGAGACAATCCATTTTATTTATGGATAGCATTAATAATTTCTGTATTAATTGGAGCATTTGTAGGAGGTTTATCTATGCATCTAGATAAGGTTGGAATTGTTGCAATAGGTATTGGACTAGGAGTAGTTTTGTCATTACTTTTATGGAATGCATTATTGGTTCAGTTTATTACATCATAATATTTATTATATTCAATTATAGTAGTTTTAAGTTTTGGATGTAGCGTTCTATCGTTTAGATTATTCGATCATCTAATCATTTTTAGTACTAGTTTTTTAGGAGTATAAATATATATAAAAACCATATATAGTCATACTTAGTTTTTAAGGCAATAGGTTTGATAGCTGGAGGGTTTCCTTCAGAAATAAGAAGTATTTCAGGAAATTCAGATTACAGATATTATATTTATTTTACTTGTATTATAATTTTAGCTTGTTTTGGTATCTTCTACTAATATAAATAATGGGGATAGAACATAATAACTTATGATTAAATTGTATAATCAATGATGAATGGCAATTAACCAAATGAAGTCAAAGATTCACTTTTAAATGATCCTTAAAATACCCAAGACTTGATTGAATTAAAAGAGATATAGTAAAAATCAGAAATAAAAGGATTTTAGTGAAAATCAAAATGAACTTTATGATTATTTTATAAACTTAGATAAATATAATAATTATAGAAATAGNTTATAAACAAAGGAATATAAATAAATTCTAAACGGTATTCTTTATTGATAATTTAGAAACAAGTACATTATATTTCCGATTTTGTTAATCAATTCTAAAATGTCCACAAATAACATATAATACATTTGCTGTAATTATAAATAATGAAGGAACACCAGAATAATAATGCATATCATTGATTAATACAAATTAATACTTTGCAGATTCATTTGAACTTATTAATTAAGATCAATCTAATGAAGGTGTGCAGGCAGAATTTAACAAGTATTGATATAATTTCATTAAAAAATAGTACATTAAATGGATTTTCAGTAAAATATATACTTAATTGTTAAGATGAATAAGAAGGTATTAAGATATTGGATATATCCTATGAAAAGGATAAACAATTATACACTATTGATATGGAAGCTGAAGATGGATGTCCATTAGTTTTATTTTCTTAAATTGTTTAATTTCTAAATGACAATAAGAAATTTCTTTCTGCTATTCTAATAATAATTGGCTTAACAGAATGCTTAATGGGTAAATAAATCTTAAAGCCAACTCTATTTATTTTTGGTTACTTAATTGGCTTTTTCTTTTCACTTTATATATCTAGTGAATTAGATATGGGAGACAATCCATTTTATTTATGGATAGCATTAATAATTTCTGTATTAATTGGAGCATTTGTAGGAGGTTTATCTATGCATCTAGATAAGGTTGGAATTGTTGCAATAGGTATTGGACTAGGAGTAGTTTTGTCATTACTTTTATGGAATGCATTATTGGTTCAGTTTATTACATCATAATATTTATTATATTCAATTATAGTAGTTTTAAGTTTTGGATGTAGCGTTCTATCGTTTAGATTATTCGATCATCTAATCATTTTTAGTACTAGTTTTTTAGGAGTATAAATATATATAAAAACCATATATAGTCATACTTAGTTTTTAAGGCAATAGGTTTGATAGCTGGAGGGTTTCCTTCAGAAATAAGAAGTATTTCAGGAAATTCAGATTACAGATATTATATTTATTTTACTTGTATTATAATTTTAGCTTGTTTTGGTATCTTCTACTAATATAAATAATGGGGATAGAACATAATAACTTATGATTAAATTGTATAATCAATGATGAATGGCAATTAACCAAATGAAGTCAAAGATTCACTTTTAAATGATCCTTAAAATACCCAAGACTTGATTGAATTAAAAGAGATATAGTAAAAATCAGAAATAAAAGGATTTTAGTGAAAATCAAAATGAACTTTATGATTATTTTATAAACTTAGATAAATATAATAATTATAGAAATAGATAATGTATGTTTATAGATTCTAAGTATAAAATTAACCAAGAAATTATCAAATTATTAAATTTTATAATTCAATCAGAATCGGTAAAAGGATAATCTATAGTATAAACCCCCTTTTTGCTTTAGTCTTTGGTCACTTTAATTTAAGCATTTTTCCAACTATCAGATATATCAATAGATCTATATTTCTTCAAATTATCATATAAATCTAAATTAGTATCTTAACCTAGAGAATGTCTCTTCCAAATATCTCCAGCTCCAAATAGATAACATATTTATTTGATTTTAGATTCTTAATTAATATTTTTAACTCTCAAAATGCGAGCCATATTGATTTCTAATTAATATCTTGGAATATCTGAATTGCTTTATTCATGAGTGATCCAAGGGTGATTTAGAGCCTATTCTGGTGTAAATCGGCTATCAGGATCTAATTTTAAAAGATTAGTAATAAGATCTTTAGCAGATTCAGAGATTTAAGACCATATGATTCCAGCAAAATCATATTTACATTATCTAATCTACTCAATTAAATCATTAAGATATTCAGAATTAAATGGCAATTCTCCACTTAACATTACATATAATATAACACCTGCACTCCATAAATCAACTTATTCACTAATTACATAAGTTTAATTACTTATAAAGATTACCTGAAAATATTTCAGGAGCTGAGAATGCAACAGTTCCAGTATATGTCCACATTTCAATTTTACCATGTTAATTAAGATCTCCAAACTCTTTATAACTATCATTAAATTTTGAAACCTACATTTTTGTAAATTTATTTACATTAAAATCAGTTATTTTTATGGATTTACCATCATGGGCACATAATATGTTATTTGGTTTTAAATCTCTATGACAACAATAATTCTCATGCATATATTTGATGGCTTCTAAAATCTATATGAATAATACACGGGCAATGGTCTCTTTCTTAGTTAAAATAATACCACTATATTGTTTTTATTATTAAATAACTTCAAACATTTCTCTTCCATCAATTTTCTCCATAATTACACAGACCATTCCAGTTGATTAAAATCCTTCATTCCATTAGATATAAATCTCTTTCATAGATACTATATGAGGATGATTTAATCTCTTTAGATTTTTAAATTCCATAATCATCTTTAGAAATATGTTAAAGTTTTTACTTTCTTTACAATTTCTTCTGAATCAGTTTTAACTGTTTTACAAGCAAATTCAAAATCATCACTCTTTCTTTTCACACTCTTTACTAATCCTATACAACCCTCTCCTAAAATATCTCCTTCTATATATTTATTATGATATTCTTTTATATCCAAAATATACTTCTCTTCATCACCTTCTAGAATTATTCCTATCTTCTACAAAAATGATTGTAATGATTAATCATCTTATTTAGTATTCTTGAGAAATTGCAATACATCTCCTACACATAGAAAAATGCCTTACCTTATAGTTTATTCTTGAACTATTCTAGTTTACATTATTATTCTGATTCACTCTTTCGAGAGAAAGAGAATTTATTTTTTTTAACATTCTCTACTATCATAATAATTATGAATTGTTTTGATTCATATTGTCGTCAAATTATTAGGCCCCCTCGTAGATAATATATGATAAGTGATCTAGGTAATACACTTTTACAATATAAAAAGGACCAAAAATAAGATATTTATAAACAAAAGCTATAGTTAGAGTTGATTTTGTATTTGAATCAAGAAACATATAATTGAATGCTAGTTATTTTTTAACAAAAGCATAAAATCATAGATGTATGATTTACTTACATGGAAATGCAAGTTGCAGATTAGAAGGAATTAGATATGCTGAAGTTCTAGCATCATGGGATATTAATTTATGTGTTTTAGATTTTGCTGCTTGTGGCATGTCTCAAGGTGAATGTATTACAATGGGAGTATATGAGAGTTAAGATGTAATAGAATTGATGAAATATATTGAAATTAACTTTGGAAAAGTTGATGAATTTATGCTATGGGGTAGAAGTATGGGAGCTGTTACTGCTCTTCTCTTAACTGAAAATACTAAAATAAGATCTTACATTATTGATAGTGCTTTTTCAGAATTTCGATAATTATTGTAGGATATTGGAAATAGACAATTTGGAGTCTTTTCTTTCATATTATATCTTGCTATCCCAATTTTGAGATGGAAAATATTGAATCATGCTTAATTTGATATCAATCTTCTCAACCCAATAGATAAATTAAAATAAGTGATTCCTAATAAAAAGTTCTTTTTTGTTGCTGGTAAATCTGATACTCTCATTTCCTATTAATACACTCTTAAATTATATGAAAATTGTTAAATGACTAAAAAATTGGATATTTGTGAAGGAGATCATAATTCCAATAGACCATCTACTACATTATAAAGAATTATTGAATTTATAAATGAAGCTTGTGAATTTTAAAATAACCAAGAATATTAAATTAAGATAGATCATTACTTTAAATTTTAATTTCAACAATCCCTCGAAGAAGAGGAAGATGTATCAGAAATTAAGACTCCTTAAACTAAACAATAATTTATTAGTATCTGAAGAATATTATATCTATTTTATAATATAATTACTCTGTAATTATTAAACAAGTCAGATTTTAAATATCTTAATCATAATTATTTTTTATGAATTCAAAAAGTGCTAAACCCACTAACATTAAGCAATTATAACACTTATAATTGCTTATTGAAAGAGTGTACATCCCATTAGAATCAAAAGTCGAATTGCGAACTACTCTCTAAAAGTTTACTAGCTAAATAGAACATTCAAGTCAACAAGTAACTATTTAAATTACAATTTTAGGTTTCAGGCACAATTACTATTGAATTGCCAGATGTTGTTGATTAAATTGATGATGAAACTGCTTTAAAGAATTATGAACTTATGGAGAAATATGAGGATTATATAGGGAAATGGTCATAAACTATTAGACAAACCATATTGAAGGAAGCTAGTAGAAAAACAGAAAAAAATTCTGCTTTGGCGGATATCATGTTATGGAGATCAAGATCGGCAAATTTGAGTACATTATATTAACAACTGGTAATCACAAGTTATTAACTAATAATAGTAAAACCCTATTGTTGCTAAAGTGAGATAAAGATTATAAACATATTTAGAGGATAATTAATCATCTGTGTTGGAATTTAATGGCTAATTTGCAGAATTAACCAAAGCTTAGGCTGAGGCTAAAGACAATGTTAAATTTCTAACAACACTTGAAAGATAATTTAAGAATCTAGATTAAGATGGATTGAATGGAATCAAAGAAACATTACCTTCTCTAATGAATGGACTTAAAATGGTTTGGATTATTTCTAGACATTATAAAGAAGGAGATAAAATGTAGAATCTATTACAATTGATTTCAGAAGAAATAGCTGATAAAGTAGAATCTTAAATTAAAATACCATAATTATTTACTCTCAGAGATGATTTACCTTATGAATAATAATTAGAAACAAGCATCAATTTAATAATGCAAGGTTCTGAAATTCTCAAATCTTGGAAAGATCTTTATCATAAGACTAAATTAGCAATAGAAGAAGAGAATCTTGATCGTTGGGATTTTACTGTCAGAACTATTCAAGAAAGAATTGAGTATATGGCTAATAGATTGGATGAATTGAGGAAGGTTATAGATACAGTGAGAAAATTCTTAGTGTTCTTAGGTCCAAATTTAAAGAAAGTCACAGGAAATGCTTAAGAAATAGATAAAAGAATTGAAGATGTTAAATAATTGATTACTCCTATTGTTAATAGTCCTTATAATTTCTTTTAAAAAGGAAATGCTGGTTAATGGAAAACTATTTATTAAAAATTCTAAGAGAATCAAAAATAAATTGTTGGAAAAACAATTGACTTAATAGATGAAACGTTCAAATCCTTAAGATCAGCAGAGGGAGCTTTTGATTTATTATAGAATTTTAAAAGTATTGATACATTAGAGGATATCAGTACAACTTTACAGAAAAAGTATTAGGAAGTGTTAGCCTAATATAAAAATGAATTAAAGTAAAATCAAGGGCTATTTGAAAAAGGATAGTAAGCAACTGATGTTTCTTTAATATCATCAAAAAATCGACCACCTGTAGCAGGATCTATAAGTTGGGCTAGATCAATATTTTATAGAATAAAAAGACCAGTTCTTAAATTTATAACAAGAGAAGAGACTTTTATTGAAAAAAAAGATGGATAAGATAAACAAGAAAACAAAGAGAGTAAAAATCCTAAAGATTTGGGGTCATAATACAATGAAGCAAAAAATGAATATAGATTGTTGGCTAAAAAATTGGATTAATTTTAAAAGGATAAGTTTGAAAGTTGGGAAAAATCAATTACAGAAAAGGCCTTATAATATCAAAAAAATAGGATTTTAACAAAACATGAACAACCAAAGGAAGAAGGAAGTTGGAATCGTAGATATACAGTTTTCTTTTAGGATGAATTTAAGACTTTAATAAAGGAAACAAAATAACTAGAAAAAATGGGATATAAGATCAATTAAACAACTATAAATATTTCAAAATTAGAGAAAGAATTTTATGGTTATATTGATAGATTATAAATAATGTTAAGAGAATATGATGAAGCAGTTCACACCTTATAGCCAATAGAAAAAGAATTATTGAAAGAGAAAATAATGAAATTAAATAGAGCATTGGAACCTGGACATGAATCTTTGAATTTGGCATCTTTGGGAATTCCAGATTTTATTGATAATTGCCTTAAAGCTATTAATGAATTTAGGGATATCAAAAAGAAAGTTAGAAAATCTACAGGAATGATAGAAGATATAGTAAAATCAATTGAGGAAGCTTAAATATTAAGAGAGTATGATTTTGAAACAAGAAAGGAAAATGCATCTTTACCGTAGTTGAATGAATTTTAAAGTTATTTTGAAGAACATCTTAATAAAACAATAGAGGAATTAGTAGAGAAATATAAATTAGTTGGTGATAATTTTTTAAGAAATATTGAAGAATCAATATTCAATAGCTCATCAAAAGGTGAACCAAGAATGAGGGAATATTATTACTATTGGGAAAGAAGAATATATAATGCTTTAGTTAAAATGACTTTAAGAGGCTTTTTAACTTTTAAAAATTTATTATAACAACCAAGTGGTAAATAAGTACCTTTATTTTAAATTACTGCAGAGTATAATCATCCCTAATTAAATACTATTCCTCCTATTCCTGAGGTCACAACTGTTTTAGAAAAGATTTCAACAAGTATTAAGGAAGCTTCTTAGGGATTTTGGAGATGGATGGATGGATATTGTATGTTTTGTGAAAAGAAATAGAGTCGTAGTGCAAATGAAGAAATATAGTATCATACATTCTATAGCTAAATAATAAGAAATCCAATAATTACTAGGATTGCTATGTAAATTGGTATTATAAGAGAGAAGGCTAGTGATAAAGTAAATAACTTTAAGGAGATGTGGGAAGATGATAAAAAGAAACCTTTATGGGATTAAAAGGCTAAACATGCTGTAGAGAAAATAATAGATAAAAATCCAACAACTCTATCTTTAGAAATAATGATGAGCAAGTATAAGGGATTGATTTAAGATTTTGAGGAGTATCCTAGAGAGAGAAAAGCTTTTTTTATTTCTGAATATTTTGGAAACGTCATTGAAAGTTTTAAGGCTCAAGCTAAAGATTGGATGGATAAACATGGAATAGTTTTAAAGACTTTAGGTATGAGAGAATTAGAAGCTATTAAGAAAGAGATTGATGATTATAGAGAATAATTAATGGTATAACCTAAGGATATTGAAGATTTAAAGAAACTTTTGAATTTAATTTAAGAGATCAAAAATATGACAATGAATATGGAATTTAAAATGGGTGATGTAACTGAAAGGTTTAGAACCTTAAAAATGTATTAATAAAATGTAGAATAAGAGAAATTGGAAGAAGCATTTTCATTGAATGATAGATGGAATGAATTAGTTAATCATGCAAAGAAAAAGGATTCAAAATTAGTTGAAAAGAAAAAAGAATTTGCTGAAGTTACAAAAAAGGAGGTAGAACAATTTAAAGAAAATATTAAATTACTCTATAAAGATTTTAAGGCAGGTGGTCCAGGTGCTGAGAGTACATCCTTGGATAAAGGTTTGGAATCACTATAAGAATATAAGACTGTTGTTTCAGAATTGAATGCTAGAAGAGAAGAATTAGTTAAGGCAGAAAAACTATTCAATTTACCAATATCTTCATTTCCTGAATTGGTTGCTATAGAAGAAGAAAATAAGGTTTTATCTGTTTTATATGATTGTTATAGAACAGTTAAAAATTAGATTTAAGAATGGTCAGTCATGCTTTGGGTTAAGTTAGATGCTGATTTACTAAAGAATGGTGCTGATAATTTTGATAAACAAAAGAAAAAGTTAGCAAAATAATATGAAAAAAATACTGTTTATGAAAAATTGGCAAAGAAGATCACAGATTTTAGGGATTCAATCCCATTAATTTAATAATTAAAAAGTGGAGCAATAACAGATAGACATTGGGAAAAGTTGATGAAAGAAACAGGAGTTAAATTTGAGACTTCAATTAAGAGTATGACTTTAGAATAAGTTTTCGCTTTAAATTTAGCCAGATTCCCAGAAAAGGTTACTGAAATTTGTACAGAAGCTAATTAAGAACATAAGAATGAAGAAGAAATCAGTAAAATTGAATAAGCTTGGAAAACAGCCAGTTTTATAATTGATAAAGATAAAAAAGGATTCTAAGTCATAAAAACAGTTGATGAAATTAAATAATTGTTAGAAGATTAATTGGCTAATTTATAAACAGTATCTAGTAGTAAATATGTTTCAGCTTTTATTTCACGTATCAGACATTGGGAATAAGCATTAAATAGAATAAGTGAAGTAATAGATGTTTGGTTGTAAGTTTAAAAGAAATGGTAAGATTTAGAGGGTATTTTTATGGGATCTGAAGATATTAGATAATAATTAAGAGAAGATTCAAAGAAATTTGATTAAAATGATAAAGCATATAAAAAGATAATGGAATCAACAGCTAAAAATCCAAATATATATGCTAGTTGTGTTGTTAATGATGGAAGACTCAGTGAATTGAAAGCTTTGTCTGATTAATTAGATAAAAGATAAAAATCCTTATCAGATTATTTAGATACAAAAAGAAATGTATTCCCAAGATTTTATTTCTTATCAGATGATGATCTTTTATCCATTTTGGGATCTAGTGATGTATCAGCTGTTTAACCACATACATTGAAATTATTTGATAATTGTAGAGAAATGTTATTATCCAGGAATAGAATGGTCATTGGTATGGCATCTGATGAATCAGAAGAGTTTGCTTATAAAGAACCATAGAAAACAGATGGTCCAGTAGAATTATGGATGACAAGAGTTGATGAGGAAATGTAATCAACACTTAAGAAAATGACAAAAGAAGCTACATTCCATTATGCAAATAAAGAAAGAGTACCTTGGATTTTAAGTTAAATTGGTATGATATCCATAGCAGGTACATAAGTTTGGTGGACTTGGAGAGTAGAAGATGTATTTAGAAAAGTAAAGGAGGGTAATAAATATGCAATGAAAGATGAATTAAAAAAATAAACAAAAGATTTAGATGATTTAATTGATTTAGTAAGAACAGATCTTAAAATGATTGATCGTATTAAAATTAATACTTTAATTATTGTTGATGTACATGCTAGAGATATTGTTGATTTCTTTGTTAAAGATTCAATATTAGATGCTAAAGAATTTGAATGGGAATCTTAATTAAGATTTTATTGGGTATTGGAAGATAATGACATAAGAATTAGATAATGTACAGGTACTTTTACATATGGATATGAATATCAAGGATTAAATGGAAGATTAGTTATTACTCCATTAACAGATAGATGTGTTATGACATTGACAACTGCATTAACATTTAAATTAGGAGGAGCACCTGCTGGACCTGCAGGTACTGGTAAAACTGAAACAGTTAAAGATCTTGCAAAGTCTTTAGCTATAAGATGTTGTGTAACAAATTGTGGTGAAGGTTTAGATTACAAAGCTATGGGTGTTATTTTTAGTGGTCTAGTATAAACAGGATTTTGGGGATGTTTTGATGAATTTAATAGAATTACAGCAGAAGTTTTGAGTGTCGTAAGTGTTTAAATCAAAACAATACAATAAGCTTTAGTGTAAGAAAAAAAGACAATTGAATTATTGAAGAAAGAAGTGTAAGTTAAAACAACAGTAGGAATATTTGTAACAATGAATCCAGGATATGCTGGTAGAACTGAATTACCTGATAATTTAAAGGCTCTTTTTAGACCAGTTGTTATGGTTGTACCTGATTCTAATATTATTTGTGAGATTATGTTGATGAGTTAGGGATTCAATTCAGCCAGAGTTTTAGCTAAAAAGATGACAGTTTTATATAAATTGGGTAGTGAATAATTGAGTAAACAATACCATTATGATTTTGGTTTGAGAGCATTAAAGAGTGTGTTAGTTATGGCAGGTTCTCTTAAAAGAGAGGCAGCTGATCTACCTGAAGATACTGTACTAATGAGAGCACTTAGAGATATGAATATGCCTAAATTCATATTTGAAGATGTTCCATTATTTTAAGGATTGATTACTGATTTATTCCCTAAAATTGATGTTAAGAGAAAACCATATGAAAAGAAAGATAAAATCTAAGAGATTGTTGAACAATTAGGATATCGACCATTAGATGATTAAATTGATAAAGTTGTTTAATTATATGAAACTATGTTGACTAGACATACAACAATGGTTGTAGGACCAACTGGATCAGGAAAGTCAGCTGTTATAGAAATCTTAAAAAGAGTAGAAAGTGCTACCTATTATTGTATTAATCCTAAATCTATAACTGTTAATGAATTATATGGTGTAATGGAAATGACAACTAGAGAATGGAAAGATGGAATATTAAGTAAGGTTTTCCGTATTGCAAATGAAAAACCATCTGGTTAATAAGAAGTTCATTAAAGATGGATTTTATTAGATGGTGATGTTGATGCTGTTTGGGTTGAAAATATGAA